AGAAGTCGCTGTGTCTTGATCCACTCGGAGAAACTAAACAAGGTGTTTGGAATCAACAAGGTAAGGATAAATGTTGACATTTATTTTGACCCTTTATTAAACTCGTTGTTGTTATTTTTGTGTTTATTATGACAATTACAAGTATGATGTCAATCAAAAAAAAAATTTAAAAATTGGTGCTCACAATTAAAAACTAGCAGCAACAGGTTTAAATGTTTGTGTTCTTCTGATATTGTTGTTAAAGAGAAGTCTCCCCATGTTTCAATGTTTATTTGAGGACCTGATGTCTGTATGATTTTTACATTAGAAAATATCACACGGGGAGAATAATGTTCAGTAGGTGTAGGAGCCATATGAGTTGTTCCTTTTTGACTAAGTGGTTTAAATGGACTCACTGTGTTGGTGCACGGGTGTGGGGCGTCTCATGGGTGTGGTAGATGATAAATGTGGTTGCACTCACCTGTTCACAGCACCTGATGTCGATGAGCAGAAAGGTGAGCATGAGGCAAAACTTTCTGTTGAGCGCAGCTTGAATGATTTTGATGTATTTTGACTGGAACTTGATGGTTTTTGTGTATTTGTGCACTAATTGATGCCATCGGCCACGTTGTAGTTTGGCGTAGTAGTGAGTGCAGTTATTTTGTGCAGTCTGTGCATTTGTCTAATGGTTAATCCCAGGCACTGATTTGTATATTGGACAGTTGCATGTGGAATAAAAGGAGCAAATGGTACAGAAGTGTATTTTATGTGTTTATTGTTGCCCGTCACCGGTGTCCTCATGTTTAGCCTGCCGCGGCCGTTGGTTGGTTGAGCCGCAACAGTAGTTGCATAAAGTGTTGCGGAGGTTTAGCACTAAAACATCAGACAAATGTCTAAAATAATTTCACATATGTTACATGTGTGGATTTCATCTTTGCTCCTCCACATCTCTTCAAAGTGTGTAAGTGATTGATTTCTATATCATGGGCGGAAACAGGGAAAAAAGTAATTGTCCACAGAAATGCGTCGTAGACTTTTAAAAAGTTATGATTTTAACAGAACAGTGTGGTCAGTGTTCCTAACTTGATGTTCAACAGACACTTAAGCTCTCCACACTGTTCACCTTTTTGTGTCACCAACATTTTAAAACATGTTGTTTTTATTGGACTTAATAACATTTACGATCTCATATTTAGTCATCTTAGAATCTGTTTCAGTTTGCTGAAAAGAGTCAACAGACTTTCCATCTACAAACACACACAGGCTGCAAATTGCCACCACTCTCCTCCTAGAGACAGGTGACTCATTTTCCACCATTCATCATGAATATTTTCATCATGATGGCTGTAGAAACAAACCATATAGTTGTTTGAATGAAGTAGTAAGTGCAGTAGTATACTCTGTGCTTTTCACTTTTTAAAACAGATGACTTGACAAACATCTGTGATTTCTGCGGGAAGAAGAGCATGAAACAACAAACGGGTAATGACATCATGACTGCTAACTGTTACGATCAATTCCCATAAATGAAATTTTAACATTGGGGTTTGTAATAATTTATTTTTTACAGATTCAGTGAGAGATGTTTGCGGTGGTTCCACCAGCTCTGCGTGAAAAGCCCAGAAGATGTTTATTTGTGTCGCTTGTACATAGTCGACACTGAAGGTCCACAGCAGCTGTTCTTATGGCAGATTGTTGAGAACACACATCTACATATATAGATGTTAAATTAAGAAGTCTAAAAAAAAGCAAATGGTCTCCAAAGTTTCTGTAGTTATTAGTTATACTGTGATTGATTTTGCAAATAAACTCTTTCGTGATAGCAACACCAAGGTGCATTATTGATTGGGGGGGGGCACATTTTGGCAGCCGATGCCACACAGCCTGATAACATCTGTATCCTCCATAACTTTTGCTGTGAAGAAGAAATCGTCTCCAAAGTTACTGCACTTATTAGTTATACTGTGATTGATTTTGTAAATAAACTCTTTCGTGATCGCTTCGCTACAAAGTGTAAACCGAGCGTAAATTCACTGGAGAGCGACGTGTTTCCATGATCGCGTCTGGTTTTACAGTTTTATCGTATCAGTCTTTTTCCAGCAGCTTATTTCAGTGCACAGTTTAAGGCACATTACATGTCACGAAGCTAATATTAAATTCATCGAGTCTGCTGTTTTCCAGCTTTTACTCTTTATTGCGTCGACTGCACATCAGTGACAAGTAGGGCAAGTGGCTCCTCCTACTTTGCGCGCTCCCGTGAATGGGAAACAATTTTGACGGGGGTAACTACTTTGGCACAACACCGGGACCTACAACATCACGTGATCAAAAGCATCAGCATCCCAGTTCCTACAGCTGCAGGGCGCAGGTGTATCTGGACTGTGAGGAGACCATCCTGTCCTCCTACAGGAAGCTCCCTGACACACCTGCACACCTTCACCGTGGGTTCGGAGTGTGGATGAGACTCCTCTCTCAGACTCGGCTTCATTAGAGCACTGTGGGAGATGCTGATGGAGGCTGGAGAGAGAATATCATCAGCAGAACCTCAGAGCTGCTGGTAACATCACTGAGCTTCACTCTTTTTCACCTTTATTCTGTTCTTCTGATCATGTTACGATGATGATGATGATAATGATGGTACTGGTGTGGGTATGTGTGTTTCTCCCGCCTCTAAAAACAAACTTGTCCCCGGCAGAGACAGGGCGCTCCGGGCGAAAGGCTCGCTGCGTTTGAACGGAGTCACGTGACTGTCGCGCCGGTTGAAACCGACGGAAAGCCGCACGAGGCTCCAGCTGCGGACCTGCGCGAACGAACGGATCAAACATCCAGCACCGAGTCCGGCTCCCCGGCTGCACACCCCCCGGTATGTCCGCTGCTGTCTGCGTGCTGAAGACCCGCTGCTTCCTCCGGCAGCTCCTCCCCGGCCTGCCCGCCGCCATGCACAGAAGCTACAGCCTGGATGTCTCCGCTCCGCTCCTCCGGACGCAGGGCTACGTGGACGGCCGCTGGATCTCCGCTGCCTCGGTGTTCCCCGTCCTAGATCCGGCCACCGGACAGGAGATAGCCCGGGTGTCGGACTGCGGCCCCGCGGAGGCCAAGCAGGCGGTGGACGCTGCGTACAAAGCGTTTCACTCCTGGAAGCAGTACACGGCCAAGGTAGGCTCGCTCTCACAGAACTCCACTTTAAAAACCGACTATTTAAAATTAATCTCCCATTTCCGCCCTGAAAATTAAACGAAACAACCCAACGCTGGCATCTTCCCGACTGACAGAAGCCAGACATTTATTCGGATGTCATAAAATTCACCAGATACTACGATATGTGCAGGTTTCACTCTTTAAATTGGACTTCCTGCCCTCCGTAGTCAACTCAAAGCCTGGAACTCTTACGCACATGATTGATATTGACTGACGGAGTTTATCTCAATGATGTTATACACACACGTCAGACTTTATTACGGCGAACACAGAAAACACCGGATTCAGGGATTTTCACACAAATCCAAAACTTTCTTTCATGGCCTTCTCCGCCCTCCGTACTCCACTAAAACTATAAATTTACCTTAAATGATAAATATTGACTGAGTATGGCGTCAAACAGCTTCCGTAAACATTAAATGTTTGTAAATGTTTATTCGGTTAACTCATAATTCACAGAAATCCGTTTTTAGACTGAACCCAAACTTTAACAAGTGTCTTCCTGCTGCTGCGCCACTCGGAGCGGATGTGCGCAAACCAGATCAAAGCAATCAAAGGTGAAGATTCGCAGACATGTGAGCCGAGATGAGCAGCGTCCCTGAAACAGTCACAAAGGCTGCAGTAAGGAGACGCAGTTTCCCGCTAACAGCACACGCTACAAGTACGACGTGTTTGAACGGAGTTTGGTGGACAGCAGGAGTTTGATGCAGTTAAACTCAGGACCGGATGTGTCCTCTGGTCCTTCACGTTAAACTTTTTCAGAGTATTTTCTCTGAAGTTTATAGATTTTTGTAAATGAGAGAATTGTTTGTGTATGGCTGATGAAACTAAAGTTCTCTCTCCGAGTCTCCATCAATGTGAGTGAAGCATGGTGGCGGGAACAGGTGCGAACGGTTAAATGTGACGATGGAGGCGTGCAGGTGACCCGTGCTGTGCTCTGATTGGTCGTCCTGCAGGAGAGGAGCGTCCTGCTAAGGAAATGGTTCGAGCTGATGACGCTGCACAAAGATGAGCTCGCCCAGCTGATCACGTTTGAATGTGTGAGTATGACACCTGAACATGCAGTACACGTCAGCAACCAGTGAGTACTTGTACTGCAGTACTTTTCAAATAAATACTTTAAAATGTTTGTTTTACGAAATGAGAAAACCTCAAGAAGTTTTTGTAAAAGTTTATTGTAACAAACACTCATCTTCATCCTGCTGCGCGTCTCTGCGTGTGCGTGC